CTGGTTGGATGAATGACACTGATAAACTGAACCGCTTCTGGGAATGCCCTATTTCCAGTGCCCTCCTGATCTGTACCCTTCTTGTGGGGGGAATATCCAGCCCAGGAAGGCCAGCAGCCTGGATCATGAGCTGCACTTCCCAGGAGACTAAAGGGGAACTTGATTTATTAGAGTCTCAGAGTGGAAAAGCACCAGAACAGGTGGCGTCTTCTCCTTGTCCAACATTCCCACCCAAAGGTGTTACCTGGTATGGTGCTGAGGCAACTTGTTCCACAAAGAAATAGTTTAAAAGCTTTGCTGGCATAATTTCAGATAGATTCAGCTAATCTATCCTGAAGGGACACACACATACACACACACACTCTGACTAAAGGACTTACTGACTCAGCTTTAAAGGCAGCTGGATGCTTCTGTCCTGGATAAACAAGCTCGTGAGTTGGTAAAGGGTTATCTATGACAGTATCCTCTGCCTAAGAAATATAATTTGGAATTTTACCTCTATGGACCACCCTGCCCAGCTCTATTCTCCTGAAAGATGGGGCCAAGAGGCAGAGAGGAGGGAGAGGAGTCCCCGGATTGGTAGAACCTCAAGGAACTAGGCTGCCCATGACAGGCCTCCTCTGGGTCTTGGGGCCCCAGGCCCGGCTCTAACTGGCCACTGCCAGGGCTGCGGGCGCAAGAATCCAGCTCACTTTCTGTTCCTCTTCCTTTCTGTGTTCTGGTTCCTGTTCCTATCTGAAAAATCATGGGACCGAAGAGAGGGTCTTGTTGTGTATAGGAGCTCAGTCTTGAGGATGGCAGGTGTCGGGGACAGGTTTAAATTCCTGTTGTACCAGGTGGAGGGACCTGGTATAATTTGCTCAGCATCCCTGAGCTGCAGTTTCCTCACTGGAAGAGTTGATGCTCACCTCACAAGGTTCTTGTGAACCATAGGTGAAATAATAATTGTTAAGTAACTGGCATACAACACAGAGATTGTCACACAGGAGGAATTCAGGAAGTATGTGTATTCAGCACCTATTAAGCACCTAGTTTCTACCAGGCCTTGTTCTAGGTGAGGAGTGGTGGCTCTTCTCTTGCCCAACATTGCCTTGCTGAGTTTGCCTGATCAGAGCCAGTGGCCACCTCAATCATTTGGGCTGGGATGAGCGTGCTCATGTCACCATACATAGATTGTCCCTACCTCTCTGGGGCTCCTCCCTTCTCCACCCCTCTACCTCTAGGCCATCCTGTAAGGCGGCGAGTGATCTCTATCCCTTCCCCTAGCTAGCCTGGGACCTGGTGGGGTGGGCCGAGTGGGAGGCTGGGGAGAAGCTTGGCTGAGCTCGTCATGATGACCCCCATACACTACTTCTGCTGAACCCCAGAGTGAGCAGTAGGGGGAGGAGACAGAGGGGGCCACGGGATTGCCCACACTCTGAGACCCTGGAATGGGAAACTCCTACAGTTGGGCCCAGTGCCTTGTTATCTCCTCTCACAGGAGGGGGTGTGCACTCTGCTCCCAGCCACCCCTTCCCTGGAGCCCTTCTTCATGCTCTGAGTTTCAGTAGTATTGCCAGAGCAATGGGTTTGGCTAAGTGTGGAATCACATTCATACTTTATCTGAAAAGAGTTTCCAGATCTTTTCCTTTAATTCGTTTCCTTCCACCGGCCTTGTCTGGTTTACTACAGTGCTGGCCATGCATCCAGGAGCTAAGACTGTAATACCTAAGAGACTCAAGGCAGAGATGATCCTGTGAAAATTAAGATGGCACATCCATTTCCACGACTGCTCCTTGCAACAGCAGCTACCAAAAAACAGGGGGAAAGTAACTGTATTTGGAGCCGCTGATCTTCCACAATTCAGCAGGATTCACTGGAAATTAAGAGGTGTAGTTTCTGTGTCTATTACAGGTGGGAAAGTAGCCAACCCCAGTGCTGCTCACTCCCTTTCTGTATTTTAGGATATCTGTGCAGGCTTATCCTTCTCCTGAACAGAGCAGAGGACGTCACCTCCTAACACAGGAGAGCGTGTGTTAGCAGAGCTCTGTGGGGAAGGCCTAGCTGGGGTTTCCTGGCAGCTCTTCATAGGACGGTTTGACTTTCAAGATTGGAATAGTCTAGCCTCCTGCAGGCCATGCAGCAACAGAGATTTAAAATAGTCCACACTCGCAGTAACAATGGTCATTGCCCATGGGAGCCTGAATGTCTCTTAGAGAATTTATCTCTTAAATCACTTAAGGCAGCAGGGGATGTGGTCCCCAGACAAGGGGATTTTCTTAAGTATGTCACAACATTAGATATGTCTTTGGGTCACTTTAGGATCCCAGGACATGAGGCAGTGACAGCAGGAAAAACTATTCTCAGCCAGGTTATCCTAGTTAGCTACCAATGGATATTTCAGGAACAGTTGTGTCCCGGATCCTTTAACATCTTCCAAAACCCACCTGCCACTATTGAAAGGGCATATGTTCCCTTCGCCCGTGGCTTTCTTCTGCTCCTCCTCTCTAGCCTGTTCTAGGTCATAGTCACCAGGAAGCAGAGTGGCCAACCAAGAAAGTCGGTAGAACCAGGGTCCTCTCTCCAACTTTGCTCACTTGTCTCCTGTATCTGCTTTCCAGCACCAGAAATATCTCCAAGAGTGTCAGCAACCCGAGCTGTCTGGACCTGCAGTGGGTCTGCTCAGAGGCATCCTGGCCCATCCCCAGGGCCCTCCCCAAAATAGATGATGTTGCACTCCTGAGACTATGGCTGTAACTAAGCAAGTCGCCCACAGCTCCAGGACTGGGGAAAGACAGTCTTCTCGGGGGAGGATTCTGCTCCTGTGGCAGGAGGAACAGACTTCAAAACAAGAATGCCAGGGCTGGATTACCCCAGAGATTTAATGACCAGAGCTAACATCCCCTAGACCCGAGTGACTACCTAGGGCTTTGGTCACCTTGCCTGGAGTTGAATGCCTCTCAGTTGGAGGTGGCTGCTGAAGTGATCCCAAGGCTGGATTTCATACTTGGCTCACTGGGGGCAGGGGGCCTGTTTACCTGCTCCACTTCCCTGCCTCTCACCTGCCTCTCTGATCAAACCCTGTCTGGACTTGGCAGTGCTATAAGACAGAATAAAAACATACTTCCATCCGAATTCCTGTCTTCTCTCATTTACACAGGAGATTAAATGATTTCTTGCCTTGTTTTACTAGGGTACTCACCAACCTATTTTTGCTTTCTCCCCATCAGCTACGAAAAAAAGTGTTGCTGAGCAACTAAGATGTCACCATTGTTTTCACACTATTTTATTAACGAGTCATTATCCTCACTTTACAGATTGTCCACTAATCCGTCCACCCACCGGTCCATCTGTTCATCCCCCCAGTGTCTACCTCCAAATGGTCATCAAATGTCTACTCTGAGTCAAGTGAAGCACTACATACCTTGGACTCTGAATCTGGTGTTTTTCGTACTTTGCCAAAGACTTCTACCATAGACAAGTGCCCCTTGGCTATCAGGAAACTTGATTCATTCAGCAAATTCTTTTTGTCTACCTCCAAAGTACTGTATGCCCTAAATGCACCTACCAAAAGCAAAATGAAACAGGCAAAATCCTTTCCTTCATGGAGCTTACATTCTAACTGGGGGAGATAGAAAAAATAAAAAATGATAAAATAAAATGTATATTAGTGACATGTGCTGTGGAGAAGAACAAAACCATAAAGGTGAATGGGTAACTGACAAATATTATGTAAATGAGTTATTTCCTTGAAATTATCAACTCACCAACAGAGGTAATACTCTGGTCCATGGTAAAATAGTCATTGATCTTAATCCTTTCATCCCCTAAAGTATTTCAGGAACTGCCAATCTGCAATCCTATTTCTTTTTACTTTGGGTGATTGTATAGTATGATGCGCCCAGTGTTCTGAGATGTTCCTCGTGTGAAAATAGGACTGGTTGGTTGCTCCAGCCATAGCAAAGGATCTGGGACAGAAATAACTTGTGTGTTTCTCCAGCTGTATTTAGGTCTAATATTTTCTTTTTCTCCTCCCCCTCCTTCAATATGTATCATAAAACTGTATTGATTGAGCTCAGAGGTTTGAAATGTATGATGCTTTAGATAGATTTTGGCCCAAGATTGTCTTAAGGAATTGTGTAGGTAAGCAAATTAAGAATAAAAATGTTCTAGGTTCCACCTAAAAAAAAACGAATAAAATAAGATTGCAAAAAATTATCCTTTTTTCATCATCTTGAATAATTTGTTTTTAAATACATCAGAGGGACCAAACCATACTTGACTGATAAGCTTGGTATAAATAATTCTTACCTATTCCTAAATGCAGGAGCCTATTACATACCTGCTGCCTCTATTTAGACAATATTGTTCTTTGAGGCCGTTTGGATTTTAAAGTAATAAAATGGCTTTTCTTAAACAAATGTCCTAGAATTCACAGTTCTCTAAATTGAGACCCACCTTTCGTCCAAATTTAGCTAGATGTTAATGTATATCACACACCTCTAGTCTGGGGTTTTCCTGTAGCCTATTTTGAAAGACATATTTATTTAGCCTTATCAGTAAGGTACTCAATCATGCTTCCTTGTATCAGGTACCTCAAGGGCAGGAGATAACACAAATGTGCTTGGTTTTTAATAGCTGGAAATATGTCTACGTGAGGTTGACTGTATTTACCCAATGCTAGATATCTGAGAGGAATATGAAAAATTAAGGTAATCATTGGTACCTCCAAATAGCTGGGTGTTGTTATCATATTTGCAAGGCATAGATTACACCATCATGTCAGATTGGGAAGACCCTGGAGGTTGGGAATGCAGTGGGGATAGGTGGTGGTGAATACCAGACTGGATGGGTATGTAGGTGATTCGTGTAGCAGATTGGCAGAGGTGGTTAGGTCAGTGAACATAGGGTTACATAATTTCATTCCTGCAACATTAATTCCAATGTTGATAGTTTAGATTTATTTTATGTGAAAGCAATTCTTTTCTTTTTATCATTTTTAAGAATACTAGAAAAATACAGTGCTTGCTTCAGCAGCACCTATACTAAAATTGGAACTATATGGAGAAGATTAGTATGGCCCCTGTGTAAAGATGACATGCAAATATGTGACACATTCAATAATGTTTAAGTGCAATTCAGTGGAAATCAAGTTGGGGGAGGAGGGAAGAGGGGATGGGTGAAAAAATCTACCTAACAGGTACGAGGAACATTATCTGGGTGATGGGCGTGCTTATAACCCTGGCTCAGCCATGACCAATAATGATCCATGTAACCTAAAACATTTGTTCCCCCATAATATTTTGAGATAAGAAAAGAAGAAAAATATAGAAATATATTAAGAAGAAAAATCTTTAAAAAATTACCCTCAATCCCACCAATCAGTATCGGTATTAATGATTTAGGTATATTTCTTAAAATTGATATGTATGTCTTTCTTCATACAAACAAATTTTTAAAAAACTTACATTGGTATTATACTGTTTGCACAATTTTTTATGCTGCTTTTTCCACTTAATACCATTAGGGCATTTCTTCACATTAATAAATACTTTCTGAAAACCTAAATGTCTAATAGTTACATCATAATGTATTCAACTTCTCCTCGAACATTTAGGTTGTTTTCATTTTCTTGCTTATGTAAAGTAAATATTCTTGCACCGAGATCTATGTTAACAGCTTTGACAAGCTACTCCAAGTCCTTATTCTTGATTTCTCTACCCTCTTTCAGAGGGCCTTATGCAAGTGTGCCTAAGATCCTGATGCCAGATCGAATGGTTTATTTATGGCAAGGATGTTTTGGAGTCGCATTGATCAATTGTATTTAATCAATTAATGACTTCATTTGTTTATTCAACAAGAATTTATTAAAGTTATATAATGTTCTAGGCACTGGGCGGGGGCAGACTGCAAAAAAACCCTCAAGGACTATACTTTCTTGGAGAGATACTTAGACAACATTCAGGAAACCCTTGATTGTGTTTAATGATAACAGCTAATAACAGTTATTATAGAACTTCCTATGTGTTGTTTGGGGTGTTGCCTGTATAGTTACTCAAGCTTCACAATAGCTACTATTATTATCATTATCCCTATTTTATAGTGAAAAAAATCAAAGCACCCAGAGGTTAAGCAATTTGCCCAAGATCACAGGGCGAATAAGTTGAAGGACTGTGATTTGAATTTAGGCAGTTGGACTCCTAGCTTGTACTCTTCACATCCCACTTGTATATAACTTGAATATAACAATGTAGAGAAAAAGAATTTGTTATGTGAGCCACTCTTATGGGAGTTAGATTGATATCTCAAAGTGGTTTTGATTTGCATTTCTCTTATGATTAGAGATGATGAGCATTTTTTCATGGGTCTGTAGGCCATGTGCCTATCATCTTCAGAGAAACTTCTGTTCAAGTCCCTTGCCCACAATGAAATGGGATTGCTTGTTCTTTTCTTATTAATAAGTTTGAGTTCTCTGTGGATTCTGGTTATCAAACCTTTGTCAGAAGCATAACCTGCAAATATCCTCTCCCATTCTGGGGGCTGTCTGCTTGCTTTACTTAAACTGTGTTCTTGGCTGTGCAGAAGCTTTTTAGTTTAATCAGATTCCAGTAATGTATTTTTAGTGTTGCTTCAATTGCCCTAGGGGTCTTCCTCATAAAGTATTCTCCCAGGCCAATTTCTTCAAGTGTTTCTCCTGTGCTCTCTCCAAGAATCTTTATAGTTTCATGTCTTAAGTTTAAATCTTTTATCCAATGAGAGTTAATTTCTGTTAATGGTGAAAGGTGTGGGTCCAGTTTCAGTCTTCTACAAGTCGCCAGCCAATTCTCCCAGCACTGTTTGTTAAATAGAGAATCTTTCCCCGAGTTTATATTTTTGATGGGCTTATCAAAGATCAAATGATGATAACTGTCTGGGTTAATCTCTTGGTTCTCAATTCTGTTCCATGCATCTACCTCTCTATTTTTGTACCAATACCATGCTGTTTTGATCACTATAGATTTATAGTATAGTTTGAAGTCTGATAGTGTAATTTCTTCTGATTTGTTTTTATTTCTGAGTAATGTCTTGGCTATTCGAGGTTTTTTCTGGTTCCATATAAAACAAAGTACTATTTATTCCAGATCTTTAAAGTATGATGGTGGTGCTTTGATAGGGATTGCATTAAACTACAGATGTTGGCATGGATGTGGAGAAAAGGGAACACTTCTGCACTGCTAGTGGGAGTGCAAGCTAATATGTCCCTTTTGGAAAGCACTATGGAGAATACTCAGGTATCTAAAAGTAGACCTGCCCTTTGATCCTGCAATTCCTCTACTAGGTGTATATCCGAAAGACCAAAAATCACTTTATAACAAAGATATTTGAACCAAATTGTTCATTGCAGCTCAATTCATAATATCCAAGTCATGGAAGAAGCCCAAGTGCCCATCGACCCATGAATAGATCAATAAATTGTGGTTTATGTATATCATGGAATATTATGCAGCCTTAAAAAAGATGGAGATTTTACCTCTTTTATGTTTACATGGATGGAGCTGGAACATATCCTACTTAGTAAAGTATCTCAAGAATGGAAGAAAAAATATCCAATGTACTCAGTACTATTATGAAACCAATTTACAATCACTCACACTTTCATATGAAGAATAGATTACAACTATGGCCCAAGATAAAAGAGGGAGGAGGGAGGGTTGAGAGGGAAGAGGGGAGGCTAGATCAAGGGAGAGTGAATGGTGGGATCACACCTATGGTGCATAAGGCAGGGGTACATGTTGGATCTATTAGTATAGAGTATAAATGTCTTAACATAATAATTAAGTAAACAAGATGAGATATATATTAACCAGTGTGATGTAAGCGCTCCTAATTCTATATGAAATCAACACATTATACTCCATAAATGCATTAATGTATATATGATCTATGTGTTTATAATTTAATAAAAAAATAAAAATAAAGAACCTTAACAACAACAACAACAAAAGAATTATAGAAGGTACCTGTCTAAGAAAACATTTCCTAGAGGTGATTATTTTTTGATTGGTTTTGAAGACTTTCAACAATAAACCAGATTGGGCTTTATATCTATTGAGGCTATTCTGATGCCACTTTTCTGAGTGCTGAGGATGTTAATAAGAATTGCTAATCCAACAGAAGAAAATTGTCCCATCTGATTTGGATAAGTCAATTATTTGAAAGTAAAAAACCATCAATCTACTTGTCTTGTCCCAAGGAACCTCTGGTGGAGAAGTACTGGAAAAATAATATTTTGTAATAAACTCAATAGGATTTTTGATTTGTAATAAACAACTATTTCAATGAATACCTTGTTCACAATGCTCTTATAATTTTAAAGAAGTTCATGGAATGAGCCAGGCACAATGGCTCACGCCTTTAATTCTGGTACTCTGGGAGGCTGAGGCAGATGGACTGCTTGAGCTCAGGAGTTTGAGACCAGCCTGAGCAAGAGCAAGATCCCATCTCTGAAAAATAGCTGAGCTTTGTGGCGGACACCTGTAGTCCAGCTACTCAGGAGGTTGAGGCAAGGGGATTGCTTGATCCCAGGAGTTTGAGGTTGCTGTGAGCTCTGATGCCATAGCACTTTACCACTACCTAGGGTGACAAATTGATACTCTATCTCAAAAAAAAAAAATAGTTTGTGGAGTGAATTAATGAACAATACTTTAGACTACAAGGCATACATAGAGGAAATAGTACTAAGAAGCAGACTTGGGGGTGTGGTGGCTCCAGCTCCTACTGGATAGCGTCTCTTTCCAACTCCGTGTTCAATGACTTTGTGTTGGTAACTTCAGATCAGCCATGGTGGGAATATTTAAACTAGACAAATCAGAAAGTGCTTTAAACTAGGGCTTGTTTCGTTTTCTTGGAGTTTGTCGTTAAACATTTACCAGCACACCACTGCCCAGGCTTGTTAGGAAATTCACAGTGGGAAGAAATTCTGTGAATTCAGGAGATGAAAGAGGGAAGTGAAATGAGAATATCAATTTAAACTCTAGTTTCCTCCCAGGTCTCCAATCTTTTATCTATTGCTTTCTTTTGCTGGGCCATTTCAGAGTGCGGGTTGACTGTTAAGGTAGTTGAGCTATTTAGGTAGATCAGGGGTGAGTGTGGCTTGAGTGTTTGGGACAGGACAAAACAGTTCAGGGGCACTGTTAGTTTCAGCCAGGCTCAACTCTCCTCCCCAGTCCTGCAGCCTGAGCGGCACCCAGAACCCAGACAGGGAGGGAGGGTGGACACACCTGAGAAGCCCTGGGGGAGGGTCATTTGCATATGAGGACAAGGAAAGGAACAAGTTCAAGCGAGAAGAGAATCTTACACATCTTCTGAAGCACCTCCCTCATTTCATTCACAGATGAAGAAAATAGGCCTCAAAGAGTTTAGAAAGGAACTTCCCGAGGTCATGAAGCTGGTTTATTGTAAAGATCTGGGTCAGACTGTCTGCTGTGACTCTCAGCTCTCTCCCCACCTGCTCTTTGACACTAGGCAGGCTACTCACACTGTGTGTTTTCTCAGGAACATATAGAGGTTAAGTAAAAATGAGAATATCGGGAGGATTAAATAATACAAGTAAAAAGTTTACATATAGTAAGCTCTCAATAAATATTAATGATACAGAGCCTTTGTGAGGACACTTGTCTCATGGTTAGAGTGAGAGAGAGATGGAAATACAGAAAAGAAAAATATGTTAATATATTAAAAAGCATGATACTACTAATTAAAAATGTATTAATGCGATATACTAATATAGCAAAGACTAAGAAACCATTTGTTAATAATATATTGAAAACCTGCATGCACCTTGGTAAACATTAACATTTTGAAATATCCGATCTAAAAATTTTCCCCAAATCCAGATTGTACAGGTATTTTAGTGAATGATTAACCCATAGCATTAGTTATTCTATTTTTTTTTTCTAACGTGAGAGGATTTGCAGCTGAATGAGGTGATTTCCAAATATCTTTAGAGGGCACATGTTCCCTTGGGCCTTTTCTTGGAGAATGTTTAAAGAACCCTTTCCCCTCTGTGTTGTCAGTGGCTGTATCTGGGGCTACATTTCTCTCAAGTGTTCTCCAGGGCAGTAAATGCTGGGAGGAGAAGGCACTGGC